ACTTATTTATGTTTTTTTTTTAAATATGTATTACTTGTAACTAAACCCCTTTCTATACAAAGTTCAATCAAATGCTCCCCATTATCATTTACACCTGGCACCCCAAACTTACCTACCACACCATCTCTAAATGTTTCTCCCACTTCAGGATTTAGGTTCCCTACCACAATTACTCTGTCACTTGGTTCAAAAGCTCCTAAACACTCGCTTAACATCTCCCAAAATCTCTCTCTCTCCTCTACACTCCACTCTTCTCCAGCTACATACACACTTATTATAACCCACTTTTCAAGACCCTTATTGTAATCCACATAATCCTTGAATTTATATTTCCTCTTCTCCTTCCATAACTGATCCTGGAATTTACCTGGAGAGAGCTCCGGGGGTCAACGCCCCCGCGGCCCGGTCTGTGACCAGGCCTCCTGGTGGATCAGAGCCTGATCAACCGGGCTGTTACTGCTGGCTGCACGCAATCCAACGTACAAGCCACAGCCCGGCTGGTCAGGTACCAACTTTAGGTGCTTGTCCAGTGCCAGCTTGAAGACTGCCAGGGGTCTATTGGTAATCTCCCTTATGTATGCTGGGAGGCAGTTGAACAGTCTCGGACCCCTGACACTTATTGTATTGTCTCTTTAACGTGCTAGTGACACCCCTGCTTTTCATTGGGGGGATGTTGCATCGTCTGCCAAGTCTTTTACCTTCGTTGTGAGTGATTTTCGTGTGCAAGTTTGGTACTACATTATTGCTACACTTTCCTTAGCTCTAACTCTCTCAGATACTCCTGATTTAATTCCATTTATTTCTCCTCACTGAAACTCCCCTACCCCCTTCAGATTTGTTTTGCTTATAGCTAGGTCATCAAACTTCTTTTCATTCATAACACTGGCAATCATCTTTCTTATCATCTGCACTACATCCACACACATTCAAACATCCCAGTTTAAAAAGTTTTTCTTCTTGTCCTTTTAGTAATTTATATAGAAGTAGGGGGTTACTAGCAAAATTTTTAATAAGTTTATAATTGCATATGATAACTATTACATTCATGGAGAAGCATCAAACCCACTGAGATCAACCAGCACCTGGGGAAAGAGCAATGAGGTAATCCAGTTTGATCCAGTTCTTTGGATCAAGAACTCTTCACCCTCTGAGGGTTTGTCCCATAGTTCCATGGCTTTGAAGCCAGGGTCCAAGCCGTAGTACTATGTCATGAGCTCAGCTCACTCAGATAAGCTGTGAGTTGTAAATCTGGGCCTAGATATGAGAGAATGCATCTATGTAGTAAGTGTGCACTATATTAAACAAATCCTGCAACATGCAGTGCATGAGAAAAAAAACTTTGACTGTTTTTGGATTAAAACAGTGGCTTTGAAGTGTATTTTCATATGGTTTTTACGGTTGCATTCATGGTTTCTCGGTCTCATATGATAGAATGGAAGATATATTACATAAAAAGAGAAATTGAACTCAAAGTAGCGGAAATGTTTGATTTTTGCCGATACACATCAATACACATCAACAGGTGGGTCTAATATATGTTCATGAATGCACTGATATTATTTATACAATTATTACAATCTAGGTAGTAGGATGGTAGACAGCAGCCACCCAGGGAGGTACTACCGTCCTGCCATGTGAGTGTAAAATGGAAACCTGTAATTGTTTTACATGATGGTAGGATTACAGGTGTCTTTTTTCTGTTTCAAAAACATGCAAGATTTCAGGTACGTCTTGCTACTTCTACTTACACTTAGGTCACACTACACATACATGTACAAGCACATATATACACACCCCTCTGGGTTTTCTTCTATTTTCTTTCTAGTTCTTATTCTTGTTTATTTCCTCTTATCTCCATGGGGAAGTGGAACAGAATTCTTCCTCCGTAAGCCATGCGTGTTGTAAGAGGCAACTAAAATGCCGGGAGCAAGGGGCTAGTAACCTCTTCTCCTGTATATATTACTAAATGTAAAAGGAGAAACTTTCGTTTTTCCTTTTGGGCCACCCCGCCTCGGTGGGATACGGCCGGTGTGTTGAAAGAAAGAAGAAAGAAGTACTAAATAAGCTACCATGGCTCCAAAGAAAGCTCCTAGTGCCAAGCCTGTGGTAAAGAAGGTGAGAAATATGATTGAATTTAAGAAAAACATCATTGAACAATATGAAAGTGGTACAAGTGCGGCCGAACTGGCCAGGATGTATAAGAAACCCTACACAACCATATGTTTCATAGTGGCCAAGAAAAAGGAAATCAAGGATGCTGTTGTTGCAAAGGGGGTAACTATGCTGACAAAAATGAGATCACCAGTACTCGAAGAGGTTGAGAAGTTATTATTGGTGTGGATAAATGAGAAACAATTAGCAGGAGATACTCTTATGACTTCAATTATTTGTGAAAAGGCTAGGCAGTTGCACAACGATCTGGTAAAGAAATTGCCTGAAAATAGTGGTGATGTGAGTGAATTTAAGGCCAGCAAAGGTTGGTTTGAGAGATTTAAGAGCTGTACTGGCATACACAGTGTGGTAAGGCATGGTGAGGCTGCCAGTTTGGACCACAAGGTGGCTGAAAAACATGAGCATGAATTCCAGGAGTACATAGAGGCTGAAGGACTGAAACCTGAACAAGTGTTCAATTGTGACGAAACAGGCCTCTTTTGGAAGAAAATGCCAAGGAGGACCTTCATTACACAGGAGGAAAAGGCAATGCCAGGACACAAGCCTATGAAAGACAGGCTGATGCTAATGTTCTGTGCTAATGCTAGTGGGGATTTCAAAGTGAAGCCATTACTAGTGTACCATTCTGAAAATTCCAGAGTGTTCAGGAAAAACAATGTTATGAAGAGTAAATTGTGTGTGTTTTGGAAATCTAATAGTAAGGCATGGGTCACGAGGGAAATTTTCGTCGAGTGGTTCAATGAAGTGTTTGGCCCTAGTGTGAAGAGTTACCTCCTGGAAAAGAAATTGGATCTCAAGTGCCTCCTAGTAATGGACAATGCACCTGCTCATCCTCCAAACTTGGATAACCTAATTTTTGAGGAGTTTGGGTTCATCACAGTAAAGTTCTTGCCCCCGAATACCACTCCTCTCCTCCAGCCCATGGACCAGCAGGTCATTCCAAACTTTAAAAAACTCTGCACCAAAGCAATGTTTCACAGGTGCTTGACTGTGACCACAGACACTCACTTGACCCTAAGGGAATTTTGGAGAGAACACTTCAGCATCCTTCATTGCATAACCCTTATAGGTATGGCTTGGGAGGGAGTGACTACCAGGACTCTGAACTCTGCCTGGAGAAAATTGTGGCCAGATTGTGTCGACAAGAGGGATTTTGAAGGGTTTGGGACTGACCCTGATGAGCCTATGTCTGTTGTAAAATCAATTGTGGCACTGGGGAGTTCCATGGGGTTGGATGTGAGTTTGGAGGATGTGGAAGAATTGGTGGAAGACCACAACGAAGAGCTCACCACTGAGGAGCTGCAAGAGCTTCAGCAGGAACAGCAACAGATCGCAGCTCAGAATCTTGCTGCAGAGGAGGAGGAAGAGAGATGGAAGATGGTGCCTTCTTCAGAAATTAAAGAGATTTTTGCTATGTGGGGTAAGATGGAAAGCTTTATGGAGAAACATCACCCTGACAAGGTTGTTGCAAGCCATGTTGGCAGCATGTACAGTGACAAAGTCTTGGCCCATTTTAGGGAAGTTTTAAAGAGACGCCAGAAACAGAGCTCTCTGGACAGTTATTTTTGCGAGACAGGACTCCAGTGACTCTCAAGGTGGTCCTAGTGGCATTAAGAAACAGAGAAGAGAAGCAACCCCAGAAAAGGAATTGGTACCTGAGGTGTTGCTGGAAGGGGATTCCCCTTCCAAACTGTAAACAATCCAATCTCTCTCCTCCTCCAGTCTCCCATACACTAAGAAGAATCTCCAATAAAGGTAAGTGTTATGCTGTTAATGTTTCATTCATCATTTCCCATTGTATTGTTTATGTACTACATGTATATTTCATGTAAAAATTTTTTTTGTTTTAATACTTCTGGGTTTCAGGAACGGATTAATTGTATTTACATTATTTCTTATGGGGAAAATTGATTCACAAATCGTAGATTTCGTTAATAGTAGCAGCTCCAGGAACGGATTAACTACGAAAAACGAGGGACCACTGCACAAGCATATATATACACACCCCCTCTGGGTTTTCTGCTATTTTCTTTCTAGCTCTTGTTTTTGTTTATTTCCTCTTATTTCCATGGGAAAGTGGAACAGAATTCTTCCTCCGTAAGCCATGCGTGTTGTAAGAGGCGACTAAAATGCCGGGGGCAAGGGGCTAGTAACCCCTTCTCTTGTATAAATTACTAAATTTAAAAAGAGAAACTTTCGTTTTTCTCTTTGGGCCACCCTGCCTTGGTGGGATACGGCCGGTTTGTTGAAAGAAAGAAAGAAGAATTATTACAATACTGCATGACAGTAAATCTATTGTTTGGTGTGACTAAAAATTCTTTATGTGAATAAGAAATCAAAATGGAATTTATGTGCCTGGAAACATAACTAATAAACAGAGGAAATGTTATTTTAGTGCCAGGAATGCCTGCATTGCTTATTCTGGACCCTGTTTTGAAACTGAAATATTTTGAACTTTGTGTAAAATTGGCCAAATTATCAATTTCTGATCAGTTTACTGGGTAGTTGAAATAGTTGATTGGCAGTTTCTTGTGCTCAGTTGATAAAATAGAAGTGATACTAGTGAAATAGCTAAGAATTTGGTGGACTGGAATAATGCAATTGGCCTAAAATAGGAGTCAAAATGGGCAAAATCACTGATGTGTAAATATTGCTGACATAACAAAATTTGCAATATGTAATTTCGTAAATTTTTGATCAAATTTCGTACTTTTTGTTTTATTACCTTCAGAGAAAGATTCTCTATTATTTCATCAAATAATTTTTTTTTTAATTCTTGGACGGACCTGTCAAAGGGTTAAATCACAAAAGCAAACAATATAGCATACTTTTAACCACAGAAGCAGCAGCATGGTGGAGTCGGTAGAGATGAAACCCCAGGTTGGTGTGGTGGAGGGTCATACCCATCGTCTGGAAGAGCAGTAGTTGTGCCATGAACCCTGAGTTAGGGCACACGCACCGTCGTTGTAATCTTAACCTTTAAGAAACAAGCCGTTTAACCACCAGTTTTTCATTGTTTACAAGTCTTACCCCTATGATTTTATTTATAGTATCTCAATGTTGTATAGCAGTGTGTGTACATGACATTACCTTATTAATGTGTACCAGAGTGTGTATATAACATTATCTTATTAATATATATCAATGTGTGTACATAACATTATGTCAGTTATGTGTACCAGTGTGTGTACATAACATTATGTCAGTTATGTGTACCAGTGTGTGTACATAACATTATGTCAATTATGTGCACCAGTGTGCGTACATTGTACATAACATTAGCACTGCTTCCATGATCACAGTAAAACACTGTACAGCCTCTCCTCGCTTAACAATGGAGTAACGTTCCTAAGACCACGTCAGTAAACGAATTCATCGCTAAGTGAGGAGCATACTATAATGGTAGTGGGTTTGTCAACCATCTTTGATGTTGTTTTAATGTCACCTTTGCACCATTTATAACCTTTCTGGCATATTTTTAAATGTTTATACAGTAGTACAGTGGACCCTAAGTTAACGATATTAATCTGTTCCAGAGAGCTTGTCTTTAACCGATTCTGTCGTTATCCAAATTAATTTTCCCAATAAGAAATAATGGAAATCCAATTAATCCATTCCAGACACCCAAAAGTATTAAACAAAATATTTTTTTTACATGAAATATACATTTCCCTACACAGAAAACAATGAGACATGCAGAATAAATACATTATTAATTAATAAAATGACACTTACCTTTATTGAAGATGTATTTGATGAGTGATGAGATGGGAGGAGGGCAGAGGATGGAGGAGTTAACAATTATTTGGAAGGGGAATCCCCTTCCATAAGGACTTTAGGTACCAAGTCCTTTTCTGGGGTTACCTCCCTTCTTTGTTTTGTAATGCCACTAGGACCAGCTTGAGAGTCATTGGACCCCTGTCGCACCAAAAATCTGTCCAGAGAGCTCTGTTTCTGGCATCTCTTTAACATTTCCCTAAATGGGACACAACTTCGTCATTGTAGATGTTGTCAGCATGGCCTGCAACAGTTGTGTCAGGGTGATGTTCATCCATAAATGTTTGCACATAAGAAAGCAGGAACACTGCAGCAGGCCTGTTGGCCCATACTAGGCAAGTCCTTCACAAACCACCCCACTAACAGAATTGTATTTGCCCAATCCAATTTTCAATGCTTCCCAAGCAATAAGCTTTGATAATTCTATTCACTTATGTTCAAGTTCCATTCAAATCAAATTGTGTGTTTGGGGAAGTACCCTGTCTGGTATGTGGGGAAGTACCCTGTCTGGTATGTGGGGAAGTACCCTGCCTGTTGGGTGGGGAAGTACCCTGGCTGGTGTATGGGGAAGTACCCTGGCTGGTATGTGGGGAAGTACCCTGGTTGGTATGTGGGGAAGTACCCTGGCTGGTGTCCATAAAAAAGCAGGAACACTGCAGCAGACCTGTTGGCCCATACTACCACCCTCTACCACCATCACTACTACCCTCTAACACCACCACTTTCGTATCTTACTACAAACTTTTCCTTAAATTCAATAGTGTTTCTCACCCTCTTTACCAAAGGGCTGGCACTAGAAGCTTTCTTTGGGCCCATGGTATTTAGCAGTTAGAAGCACTAAAAACAATGGAATACAAAATGTATCACATGTATGCGTGGATGTTGCAACCCCTGAATGGGTTGCAATGTATATTATGTATATATATTACATGAATATTACCTTTTCATATAATTTTATATTGCTTATATTTGCGATAATAGCTAAATCATGAATATATTGATTTATATTATTATTTGACTTCGTTAAATTTTGTTAGGTAGGATGTAACATATTATGTGCTCAGTTCAAGTCTTGATTGTCTAACTACTGTAATTATCGCTCTTGATTCGTTACTCTGCCGGCTTCTGTTGCTGGGCAGCAACTGTCCACGGAGCTATCACGTGATGGGGGGGGAGGTGTTCTCACCTCACCTGAAGTATTCAGTCTGGTCTAGACTCGCTTGGTGGTTGGATGTATTCTTTACAAGACGAGCCTAAATCTCCCTTATTGGCCCTTGTTGGAAGATCATCTCTTGTCTAATTATTCTTGTTAGTTCTGGAGACTCTGTTCACAGAACATTTTATAGACTTAGTGATTTTCGACGTTGTACTGAGGTTGTGTGTCTCAAAGACACTCTAAGCAACTCAGGTCCTGAGCTGTAGCTTCTGACCTAATTTGTACTGGTATCTGTGTACTATCACAGTCGGGGATTTTCTTATGCTGAACTTAGATTCAGTAGTATAGGAGCTTAGTGACTTTTGTGGAGGATCTGCTGATGGTCCCTACTTAGTGTCGTTATATTATCTCCATGATCTTGATTGTGTCGTAGTTGCTTGTTATATTGCTATTGGGCTTAGCATTCTTTTTATTGTTCAAGCAGACTGCTCTGATTGCCAGTTGGTCAAGAAGTTATTTTATTTGAGGACTTTGTCAGTCACTTGTTTAAGTCTAGTCGAGTCTTGAGACTTAGCGAACTACTTAGAGCACTTACACATACACACAAACTTACTTGTAAATATTTGTAATATCTTATTAAGTGTTAATGTACCAGACAGTACTTAAGAATTATAACTCTGATATGTGCTTTCAGCACAATAATATTGTACATGAGAGAAGTGATTAATATTATTTTGATTACTGTGATTAATTTAATTTGATATACGCCTAGACAACTTAATAAATTTATTAAATTTTAATTTCTCTAGTTAGTAGCCTACCAGTTGTAATCCTGAAGCACTAATAATTCATACTGAATTCTAATGGATAATTGGACAAGGATACTAACTAATTGATACGAAAACCCAGTAACAGGCTGGATGCTAGAAGGGCAGTCCTTTCTAGTATTCACTGGAGATCTCTAAGCTTTTAGAATCGCGTTTTTTTCTTTTAATACTTCTGGGTGTCTGGAACGGATTAATTGTATTTACATTATTTCTTATGGGGAAAATTGATTTGAAAATCATCTATTTCGATAACAGTCCCACTTCCAGGAATGAATTACGGACGATAATTGAGGGACCACTGTACTAGTATGTCAATAACCCTGGCGTATAAGACGTACTAGTACATAAGTCGAAAACCCTGAAAGGGTTAATATTGTTTATTATGTCATATTAGTTGAATTGTGATAGATAAATAAGCCACAGAGTTAATATTAGTGTCATATTCTCCAACAATAAACTTGCCTCTCTGTCCCCTCTGGCCTGTCTGCCATACACCAACAAGAATCTTCAATTCAATTCAATTCAATTCAAGTTTATTCTCTATAAGGGTTACAATGTGGGGTTTACAGGTTTTGGGTATTGTGTGGTTTACATGTTATAAAATACTAATTACAGAGGGGGCCACTAGGACACCTAGCATGGCTAGGCATTTCGAGCAGACTTAGATTAATTCTTAACATTAAATCCTTACAGATTATGGTATTAAGGCTAAGTGACCACATCATAATTTGTGAGTTTAGCAATGTGAATGCTTTTGTTTTGGCATAATACAAAGTGTCTATATTGGAGTATCATAGGCAAACTTATGATTAAGAAAGAGGCTTGAGCTTGCTACCATCTGCAGCTCATAAGGCTGCCATCCCCACGAGCCCCTTCGAGGCGGGGTAGATGGCAGACCAGAGGCCTAGCTTCTCCCTACGAGCCCCGTGAGGGCGGGGAATGTGGCTAGGCCTGGGGACACTTGGTCCCAAAGATGAGGAGGTACTGTACCTCCTCCCATGGGAGACTTAAGTCTCGAGACACTCCCCAGATAGGGAGCCAAGGCCGGGTCACCACTACTTGGAAAAGACCCGGGCCGGGAGAATACCGGCGAATAAAAAAAGAAAAAGAAAAAAACTTATGATTAGTTAGGATTTATTATTTTAAGATTAAGATTAGTATTTCTGGGTTTACAGTCAGTGGGTGAGTGAGTGTAATTGTGAACCACCAGGTGGTAAATGTGATGTTAAATGTTCATTTATACATTTTATTAGTGCTTTATATTTATTTGTCATTCTTTTCTGCATGTAAATGTATATTTAAGCTAGGGAAGTGGCTAGGGAAGTGACCCCTGATAAAGACTTGGTACCCAGAGTCCTTATGGAGGGGAATCCCCTTCCAAACAATAACCTCTCTTCCCTCTCCCTTCCTCCCTGTCTTTCATCCATCAACAACAGCCTTCAATAAAGGTAAGTGTCATGTTGAATGTTCATTCTTTTGTGCATGAAAATCTATCTTTAAGGTAAAAAAAATTTTTTTGTTAATACCTCTGGGTGTCTGGAACAGAATAATTGGATTTACATTATTTCTTATGGGGAAAATGGTTTCTTCTTTTGCTGATTGCCGATTGCTCTGGAATGGATTAAACACTAAAACCGAGGGTCCACTGTATATTGTAATGAACAAAATAGAGGAAATCAGCTCTAATATAAAGTAGACTGTCGTTTAACCTTCAGGGTTTTGGCCATACTAGTACGGCTTACACGCTAGGGTTTTTGACGTACTAGTATGCATAAATTCTAGCACCTTCAAATCTTGTGGGAAAAGGCTGGTAGGCCTAGGTGTGAGAGAATGGGTGTGTGTGGTCGGTGTGCGTGGTAGAAAAAAATCTGGGACTCAGTGCCGCACTGTGGGAACGCCATTTAAGTAGACCTTGTTCACCATGCCTCGCGGTAAGAAGCTCCTCACTCCTTGGCGAATTGGGACACTTTTGTTCCCCAGTGACAGTTCTAATACAGATGGAAGTGCCAATGAAGATGAGTTTCAACGTTTTGGTGAGGTTGTGACCTAAACTAATGACCAGAATATCGGTAATAGTGAGGAAAACCAAGACGACCCTCAGCCTTCCACCTCTGCTGCTGGGCCGTCTTGTTCACATTTAGTTGTACCAGAATCAAAGAGGAAACTCCTATTTTCCCAAATCCCAGACTCAGATGTGAGCATTTGTGATGATAGTGA